ATGAGGAAGTAGCAAAGGGAGCTCCCGGACCACCCTGTGTGCTCCTGCAGGCCACAGAGACACACACCCACAGCCTGCATTAGTGGCTTACTCTACCAGCATGGAGCTGGGGTGACTGAGCATGCTATACAGGCCAGGCCACCAAAGCACGAGGCCCATTCTTCATCCTGCAGTGCTCTTACATCCCAGGCTACCTCAATGTCCCACCAGGCTGGGTTCCAACACTGCCTCCTTTCCGAGGAACACACTAGATTCCTCAGTCCCCAGGCTGGCCTATTCACCCCTTCAATATCCCAATTCTCCATTTCATCTCACAACTCACACTCCTAAGAGCAGGCTCTGGGGATCCAGAACCCTTTCCATCATATCCCTCTCCACTTTAAATCAACTGTAGTTCTCACTTACCTCAGGAACAGAACCATGGCACTTGTTGTCTGGTCCTGCTACTGGCCTCCTCTCACACAGACTCAATGGTCACCAAGTAGCTACTGCTTCCCTGATCCTGGTACTAGCAGGACTCTAGTCCAGACTCCACACCCTCCAGAGGGCCCCACCTGCCACAGGCATAAGAATAGCTGGATTCTGGATGAGTTCTGTTGGAGAGACCTTTGCTGAATGATGCAGTCAAGGCCACTGGTATTATGAGGCCCTCCCTTCACAATTCCTTACAACATGTGGGGTTTCAAGGATTCATCACGGAAGATGCATGTGGACAAGGATGGTAGAGCCTGCCATGGTTGCCATGTGACTGGTGGCCCTGCTCTTGTGTCCACTTGAGATGCTGAGACTATCAGAAAGTAGCACTGGGTTTGGTCAATGCCAGAGGTGATTAGGATTAGGAACAAGCAGGGTAGGGCCTGGTAAAAGGGGCCACCATCCATTGGCAGCAGAGCCACCAACCCTAGAAATGTGTTTGTTAGGAAGATGATGCCTCCATGACAAGGACAGGACTGTGAGTCCACCTGGACACTGTATGGTGGCCTTGACAGTTCCAACAAACTCATACACACTAAGGAAACACAGCCATTCCTGAGCCACAGAATCAGATCCGGGAGACACAGGTCCTGCCAGAGCAAAACCTGTCCCAGAATAAGGGAGGATCCTACTCCTATTCCTTCCTCATAGGCACTAAAGCCTATGTGACCCTGCAGGCTTTCAGCAGGACACGCTTGGCCTCACTAACATCATGCTCATTTCATGGACGGATGAGATGGGAAAGGTGATCTCATACGGGTATGTGGATCTGTCACCTCCTTGATGAGGGTATGAATGACTAACAGAAGTCTGAGAAACATCCATCTGAACTCCTTTTCCAAGATCTCTCTTCCATCCACAGCTCTCAGTAACAATGTTGCCTCCCCTGGCCCAGATGAGCTCCAGAGCCATGGTATACTTTCACCCAACACAGCCATTAATCAACACATCCTCCAGATTCAAAGGTGTGAGGCATATGTCCCAAGAGTCTTCTCCCAGCAATGACCTACACACACTGGATGCTCAGCTCTTGGACCTTGGGGAAGGCTGACTCCTGAAATGCTGGGCCAGCATTCCTAGCTAGACAAGAGTACCTGTTAAGACACAGGGAAGCCAGTACCATAATCCTAACTGGATGAGAGTGATGGATATTAAATAGGATAGCTGCTGTTCTGCCAGCCAAGCAGAATCTCCAGAGTCCACAGAAGTGGACATGAACAGATAATACAAGAAGGACCCAGCAAGGCACCAGATTATGGACAGATTGGCTAGGGAGGTAGCAAGGGCCCCCCACCTAGGATCCAAGAACCCTTAAAGGATCCCCAAGAAACCACAATGTTTCTTGGGAAGAGTAGCAGCTAAGGCTACAGAAGCCTATGCTACTTAATATTCTGGCTCAGAATTCAGATCCAGGAGTCCCTAGAGGTTCAGTGATCCCCAGAAATCAAGACACTTTGGTTTTCCTAAGAGTTAGCTCTTGGATGGTCTGAAACAGCAGAGATGGACCATTCTCAAAGCACAGGATCCGGCCCAGGACAAAGGACTGGCCTTCCAAGACCAGCACCCTGCAAGCTCCCACTGGGGACATGCATGCCAAGGTGAGCCACCTTGCAGCACTGTGCCCTTGGACATCTCAAAACATCCAATAAAAAAAAAATGTCATAAGAACTTAGGCTTATCTAGCCAGGGGTACAACCAGTATGCGAGCTTCCTGGCTGGGCTGGGTCCAACTTGTCCCTCTTCACCTATGTGACCTTGATATGTCCTTCATTCGTTGCTGATGACTTGAGGGCTTGGTGCCTGTTGTGGGGAAGGAGAGGTTACAGAGTCCTAAAGACTCTCACTTTGAACACCCAGGTTCCCCTAGATTCTAAATACCCACAGCTCACTTCCCTTGATGACACAGGACAGCAGGGTGCCTACTCCCAAGCTTCCTATCCCTGGAAGGCCCCACCTTCCCTTGCTGGGACAGGCAGCTGCACTGCAGGCAGTTCTGGGTCAGGAGCCTGGGGTGGGGTGGGGTGGGGGAGCCAGGGCAGAACATAACCCAGCGGAGCAGCTACAACACACGGGTCCCACCCACCTTCCTCTATAAATAAGCCTGTGTAGGAGAAACAGCGCTCTCCCCAAAAGTTCCAGCCCGATTGTATTTTTAAAGAGCAAACTAAATCAATAAAGACAAAGGCTGTCCTTGGAGGCTCCTTTGCCACAGGGATGAGAGATACCATCCAGGCAGACCCAGGACCATGTGTACATCAGTATCTTGGCTAGCCACATGAGAGTTCCAGAGAGGTCCGGGACTGGGAGAAGGTACTTGTCTTATATTCCGACAGCCAATAGAAACCCAGCTATGGCTGGCAGGCATCTGCAGGGAGGCAGCAGCTGCTTCTTACCTGAGCAAAGCTGACTTTCCCCCCTTTGGAGTTTACCCTCTGGGAAAGACACTATGTCTACCTGCAGGTGAGAACTGAGGCCCAGGAAATACCCTCTAGCCACAGGGCACTACACAGTCCCTAGTAAGACCCTGGCTACACCAATCACCCATGGTTCCCCTGCCTCATACAAAGCCACCCCCTCCCAACTCCCAGGAATGTAAAGAACCTCAAGGAGCTTGGAAAGCCTCAGTCCACATGGGCTTCCCCAGTAAGCTGATCCCCCGCCTGTCCAGGCATGCAGCTTATTTTAGGATCTCCCTGAGGCCCAGGTTCACACCCCTACTTCAGAGCCTGGCATCTGCTGGGGGTCAGACCTATTGCCATGTGGCCAGAGCCCTAATGAACGCACTCAAATGACAGACACAGAGTGCTGACTGGGCCATACAACACAGTAGGGCTTTTTGTAGGGCTTTTCCCTAGCCTGGAGACACTCAGAATCCATTCCTGGTTTTCAGGAGTAGGAGAATCGAACTGCGTCTTGAGGTATACACAGGAAGATGGGGGGTGTGGCAGGGTTTCTGGAAATAGCAAGCAGCTTCACAACAGGGATATATTTGAGGGCAGGAGGGGTAAGACCCATCTCTCGCCCCTTGGTTTCACCCCTAGGGATTGCCTGGCCTTCTCTTCCCCAGCTGAATGCTCTCCAATCTTCTTGCCCTCTCTTCCAGGGCTGGTAACACCTGAGCCTCTCTTAAGAATACAAGGGCCATCTCCCACTTCAGGTTCACACAGATGGCTCAGGCCAGCTGGCAATGTTAGCTCCACAGCCCTTGAGGACTCACTCTACCTACATGAGCCATCCCATCCCCACCTTCTGTGCACACAGCAACACAAACAACCTTGTTAGAAGTCCTCAGGGACACAGCAGCCCAGAGAACCAGGGTTAGCCAGACTCCTGTGCAGCCACTAGGCCCACTCCAGTCTTCCCCTAGTTTGTACAGCCTTGTAGACAAACTCAGGCATCAACACAGGGCTGGCCTTTGTCCCCTTCCTAGGGTCCACAGCAGCACTGCCCAGTGGCCTATCACCACTCCCAGCCACACCATCTCTCCACCAAAGCCAAATGGCCCAGTCACCTCCAGTCTAGGTCCTGCAGAGGAGACAAAGTGACAGCTGACACACAAGGTCACCTCTTTTCTTTTTTTCCTGCACAAGAGGGCCAGCTAACCCAGGGGATGCCCACCACTGGCAGTCACCACAGTCAACTGCAGAGGACAAAGATGAAGGCACTGGAACCCAAGACAGCTCGGAGTAGGCCACAGCCATAGCCCTGAGACCACCATCCTCTTTTATAAGCAGAGAAAAATCTGACTCACCCAGTGTTTGGATTGGAGTGAAAAGAAACACGGGCTTTATTACTTTTTTTGGTACAGATTTCTCTTTTGTATTTAATATTTATACAGTTAAACACACAAGGTAGAGAAACATATACACACATTGCTCATTTTGCCTCTGTCTCCGACTCTGCCTAAGAGTGTTTATGGGCCCATGTCAACTCCCCTTGGCCCTCCACCCAACCAGTCCAGGAAGGAAGCAGGGGCACCTACAGCCCAGCCTACCCTGGGGACCAGCTCCTATCAGTTGCTGGCTGGGAGTGGGGGGCAGGGGTAAGCAATACCAGGCATGATTTCAGCTCCTCCCCAAAAGGCCACCTTCTGGGGACCAGAAGCCTCTTTATGCACCCCAGAAATACCTCCAACACTTACTCAACCCTGTTCTGGAAGCTTCTCTGAAAGTCTGTGCTCTTGGGGCCAAGGGAGGGGGGAGACACAATCCTGTTCTCTCTAGCTGGGTAACTGTGAAAAAAGGGGGGTCAGGCTCAAAGCTAGCAGCCTCCCTGCCCCCCTCCCTTAGCACATGACTTAAATCAGCCCCTGAACGGACTTCAGCCTGGAAGCGTGAGTTTTCAACTAACGTCACTGCCTCTCCGCGGAAAAGAACTAGGGACCAGCCCTGCAGGGCACACAGCGCCCACAGAGCAGGTGGAAAACTTTCTCCCCTTCCAGCCTCCAGCGAGGGTCTTCACACAGGCTTAGGTGTTCGTTTGAAAAGCTATACAAGCGGGGATCCCTCACCTCCGTAGGACGCCAAGAGTTAATAACTACCTTTTTTCCCCTTCTGAGCCGTGGCATCCTCGCTGCTTCTGTCCATACTCTCCCGTCCCAAGATGCCTCTGAACCCGGATTCCACTGGCGAATCCCCACCATCTCTGAGAACACTGTCGCACACCCCTACCCGCCCGCGCCGGATCCCAGAAGCCGGGGTTCACAGGGCGTACGCAGGGGGAGTCCCACACCCCAGTCCCCAGCGCCTCGTCAACCCTGTAAGGATATGGGTTACAAACCAGTCGGAGGCACCAGCTGCGCGGCCGCGTGGTTTGCCCAAGGCAGAAGAAGACCGTGGCCGCCAGTGCCGGGTATGGGATGGGCTGTTCCTCGTCGGCACCCAGGTCCGCACCACACTCGGTCGCTGGGCTCTCAGGAGTCAACACGCCAGACCCGGATCCTCGCTGCTCCTCGCGCCCCGGCGCCCCAGGGCTCGCTGGAGAAGCCCTCACCGGCGCTGCAGGAGACGGAGGAGAAGCGCCCAGAGGCACCCGGACCTCGTCCGCGGCCAGCGTGCCCTCGGTCATGGTGGCAGAAGGTAGCACCTGCGGAGAGAGGGCAGGCAGTGACCCTGGCCCAGGAACGACGCCCCCACCCCGCCTCAGGCGGAGTGGAGCTGCGGGAACAGCCGCGGCCGCCGGGATGTCTTTGTCTCTCCTTATTAGAGACAAATGCGCCCCCCGCCCCCTCCCGCCCCCTCCCGCCGGCAAAGGCTGGCAGCCCCACCCCCAAGGCCCAGGCGAAGGGCTGCGGGAGCCCGAAGGGCTCTGCGCCCCCAGAGCTCAAGTTCAAAGGGTCCCAGGCGCGCAATAAGCGCGCGTACCCGCCGCGTCTCACCTCGTTCCGGTGGCCAGCGGCGTCCCCGCGGGCATTGCCCGGGCGGCGCTGTCACTGGGGACCCAGCCCGGAGCCCGGAGCTGGGCCAGTACCGCCGCCTCGGCCCGCGCCCCCGGCCCACCCGGTGCCAGCTCTCGCGGAGGCTCTGGCTCCGGCTCGCCCAGCAGCAGCAACGGTGTCCCGATGCGGAAAACCGCTAAATGCACGGCGGGGCGGGCGCGGACCGCGGGCACGGGCCGGGGGCGCGGCCGAGCCGTAGAGGGAGCGAGCGAGCCCTGGAGCCCGTCCGCGCACAGCGCAGGAAACTTCGGAGTGAGCAGTGGCGAGGGGGCGGGGCGGCGGGGGCGGCCCATGGGCGGGGCCAGCGCGGCCGGGGCGGGTCGGGCGACCCGCAGGGACCGGGATAGGGACGGAGGGTGGGCGGGGGTCAACAGCTCGGCCCACTCCAACCCAGATGCACGCTATCCTACGACACCCCCTGCTCCGTTCTTCTCCGGTGCCCGTATTCCTCCTGCCCCAAGTCCAGGACTGGGCGAACCCGGTCCGCGCCCCCCTCCCTGACCTCTCCTCGCGCCCCATACCGTCTCGCGGGAGAGCACAGCAGCAGGGGGCGCTCGCAGAGATGCTCGGGCGAGGGGCGGGGGAAGCGGCGCCAACGTCCTTCCCCGCCCCCACTGCGGGGGCGCGGAGCCGGCGGGGACCCCCTCCTTTCCTCGCGCGCCGCCCCTTTCCTTCGCTGCTAGGGTCGACTAGGGGGCGGGGCTCAGCAGGCGTGGGAGGCACGCCGTGACCATGTCAGAGGCGCGTGCCCTTCCCCCACCGCGTGTGTCTTGGGTGTGCCGGGGCGCTAGTGTCCTGGCGCGCGTGGGCGACGTGGGGTGCGATGCGCGACGCGACACTGATTGTCCTGGGGCAGTCCGGGTGCTCCGGTACGCAGCTCCCCCACACCCCTCCCAGTTTCCGCAAACTTGCCGGTGCCCATCCCCCTCCCCTTCTCTCGTGGGGACTGGGGAAAGACCTGGTGAAGGAGTGCAAGCCGAATGGGGCCTCCCAGCACCCGCGGGCGCACAGAGGTACCCTGAGCATATCTCAGAATCTCCCTTCATACTCCTGGGGTTGACCACCCTTGTCCCCAGGGGGCATGAGGAGAGGGGCCGCTCTCCCTTTTCCACTGAAGGTATGCAGGGATTTTTGCTTTCTCACAATTACTACTCTAGGTCATAAAATTCCAGCTTCTGGTTGTGTATCCACTCAAATTTCAACCAACAAGGGGCTCTTTCACCTTCACTTCAGGCCCTGTTACTGGGAATGCTCATTTCTGTCCTAGACAAAGAGCAGCCTCCCTCTCTCTGCCTGAGGCAGCTGGGCTCTTTGGAGGGCCAGAGCGACTTAGCAACCCCAGACCTGGATGGGCCCCCTGCAGGGTGGGCTGCTGAGAAGTGGAGTTTCCTATGTGTGGTTCTCAGACTTTGGGAGGGTCTCACACCTGGGCCAGGGAAGGGCACAAGCTGGAGGAAGGTGATGGAAGGCAAGAGCTATGTCCTCTGTATGTAGGTCCAGGCAGGGCAGTCCCCTGGGCCCAGCAGCACCTCGACTTGTATATGTGAACTTTTCAAGAAAAGGAAAACATTTACTCTATTTTAATGCTCCTACTTACCAGTGGGTGGCTGCAGCTCATAATTAAGGTCCTCAAAGAGCAATTAAGGACCTAGCCACCCAGGAGAGGGACTAGGAAGAGCCTGGAGCCTTGAACACAGCCCATAGAAGTGCAAACAAGTAGGGGCAGATCATGCCAAAGCAAGGTCCTGGACAAGGTTGCTGGTAAGCCTGCCACTTTCCTTAAACCCCTTGTTAAAGGTTAAGATGAAGTGCAAGATTTGGTGATGGTTTGCTTGAAAGGTAGCCGGAGGCAGGTCAGGTGTCACACTCTGGAGCAGAAAGCACAATTGAGGTGACCACTATAAATCTTACCCTTGTTCCTGGGAGCTTCATTCCAGTGGGAGGCAGGCTGTGAACAAGTGGGTGGATGGATGGAGGAGACAAGTCTCTTGGCCAGAGCAAGTGCCTCAGATAGTCTTTCTAGAGGATAACCTGAGAATGTGAAAACTCTCCAGCATCAAGGCCTCCTGTCTGGAAACAGGGAAGACTGGAGGTGTTCTGACCCAAGCAGTGCAGGAGGCATCCTTGTGGAGAGCAGCTATAGGATTCAAGGAGCGGGCCAGACCTGATTTTCTACAGGGCCCCATGGAGTCTGGAGGGAGCTTCATATACTCTAGAATTGAGGGCTGTCACACCCGTCTCTGTTACACTATGTTTTTTAAATTCCTGTAGAAGGGAAAGGACCCCAGAATTGTATGTGTTTGTATATGTGTGACTGAGCTATATTTCCCAGCCCTGGCTGTGGGCATTTGAACAGTTAAAGTTATGAGCCAGGTGGTGGTGGTGGTGCATGCCTTTAATTCCCCCACTTGGGAGGCAGAGGTGGGCGGATCTCTGTGAGTTCGAGACCAGCCTGGTCTACAGAGTGAGTTACAGGACAGCTAGGACTGTTACACAGAGAAACTCTGTCTGGAAAAAGCAGCCAGCAGGACCCAGAGCCCATTTATGGACCAGATGCAGGGACACCTAAAGTATGATTTATACCCTGGGGAACTTCTCCCCATGTCTCTTCCCTCCCCCCTCTGTCCCCTCTGTCATGCCTTCTGAAGACCTATTGTACTTTCTTCACAGGGTCTCATGTCCCTGAGCTGATACTGTGTCTGCTCAGCATCCTGTAGCAATGGTCATTGAAGGTGGCTTTCCACACCTGAGCACCCATTAGTCCACGATAATATTCAATTTGCTGTAAGGGGTGAGCACATCCACGTGACACAGACTTGCCTTCAGGAGAGGAAATGAGAAGCAGACACTGCTCAGATACGAGATGAGAAAATCAGGTTCAAAACAATGAATGCATAATACGTTCACATGGTGAACAAGGAATGAGAGAGACAGGCATAGGACAACTTGGAAGTTGGCGTTAAAATTGTTTAATTAAGCCGTACAGAGTGTTCAAATGCATTTTAAAATCCTCTAGGCCTCTGGAAAATTTGGTTCTGCTTTTTGCTAGTGTGTGTGTGTGTGTGTGTGTGTGTGTACAGAGCTGCTGCTTGACAAAAAACTGGGAGCTGGAAGGGGGACACATAACATGGGAATTTGGCCAAAAGGAAGCTCAGAATCATGATCCTGGGGATCACTGGCCCCTCTAGCTAGCAGTTCATGGTCAGCTGAAGGCAGGTTGGCCCACAGGGCAGTGGGGATGCCTTTACCATGACCTGTGGGCATCTGTCCAGCTCAGAAGGTGCTCTTGGCACCCACCCCCACCCAGCTATAGACCCTCAAGACTTTCCATTCTAGCTTCATGGGGCTTCCCCCGACCCTTCACACACCTATGTCCCTCCTGAAAATTGTAGTGGTTTAAATGCTGCTTGGGTTAAGTCTGAGCTTGGAACTTGAACTGCATCGTCCATGAATTAGTGAGTACCTGAAGGGACACTAGCCCATCCAAGTATGTGGCTCTGGCAGACTTTGCCCTTTTCCTCCATTCCTTCTACCTAAAAACATTCCTAAAGCTAGCCACCAAGGTCTATTCCCTTATTTGGTCACTTCCTCCTCCTGAGGCTGATTACCAAGGTCCAGTTATCAAAGCACTCAAGTCCAGCAATCAAAAGCCCTCTTTGGCTCACCTAATTAACATGTCTGATTAAAATAAACACCTCATCCAACACAGAGTTTCTTCTTGTACCTTTATAAATTGCCATTTTCCAATGGGGCACATCTGTCCTCTTTATCCAGAGGCAGTCCTTTGTCCCTCTGGGAAAAATATCCCCACCTCCTTCCCCTTGTTCCTTCCCCTCTCTCTTCCACTATCTCCTGTCTTTGTCCCTTATCCCTGCCCTCTGTCCCCCTGGGGCAAATATCCTTTGTGCTGAGAACTTGGTCTTGGGGTTCTGAATCAATGCTGCCCCCCCACCACCATGAAATAAAGCTATTTAAGCCAATGCTATTCTTTTACAGTATCCATACCTAGGCACCAAGTAGTCTGTTTTATCTGTCTACATCAGACCACAGGCATCTTCCTCTGGCCAGCTGGCTCTTCCAGGATCCTGGTCCTGACTTCACCTACAGTTAGGTCCCTCCAATTCAGAGTATCTTGGGGTCCTCTTGGGTCCTACCAGCAAAGCTTTTGTCACTCAGTGTCACAGCCCTTGTTGCCCTCAACTGCATGTCTACTAGGCCAGGTGTGTCTGTGGGTTCTATACAGTGCTCCTGTGGTACTCCTTATTATGTATAAGGTTGTGCCTTGACCCCGGGCACATTCCTATCCCTAGGTGGATGGACAGGAAATATTTATTGTGTGAGTAGGTAATAGCACAGCAACCTTTGGGCTCAGAGAGGCTAATGGGATCATCAAGGAGGTGAGCAGCCTTGGGTGGGTGTCCATTGAGCTATAATAGAGTTAAAGATCTCAATTCTATAGCCTGCCTTTCCTAAGGGTGCCAAGCAACTCTGAAGCTCCATATATCTCTGGGAGTGCAGAACTCAAAGGTGGGGGGGTACCTTAAGGTTGCCATAGATTCTACCCTCCTTGTCTCTCTGGAAAGAGGGTGTCTGGGACAGGGAGAATCAAGCAAGGCACTGGGGATAGCATATTCCCTGAATGGCCCTAAGATGGCCCTCTGTACTGACTAGTTTTGTGTCAACTTGGCATAAGTTAGAGTCATCAGAGGAGGGAATAAGATAGGGCTGTAGGCAAGCCTGTAGGGAATGTTCTTAAGTAGAGATTGGTTTGGTAGGGCCCACATCGATTTGGGGAGGGGAGCTGTGAATGGGCCATCCATGGACTGGTATCCCTGGGTTCTATAAGATACCAGGCTGAGCAAGCCATGATGAGCAAATCAGTAAGGAGCACCCCTCCATGGCCTCTGCATCAGCTCCGGTCCCCTTCGTGAATTCCTGTCCCCATTGCTTTTGATGATGAACTGTTACATGGAACCCTTTCCTCCCCAAGGTGCTTTGGTCATGGTGTTTCATCACAGCAATAGTAACCCTAACTAAAACAAGTTGGCATCAGGATAGTGGAGTCTTGCTGTGACAGACCTGACCATGT